AGAGCAGGACGCGTCCCTCTGCTGGAGTCGGAGGTGTGGAAGCAAGAGCAGGACGCGTCCCTCTGCTGGAGTCGGAGTAGGTCTCGGGAAATGTGGCAGTGAAAGCTCGGGTCTGGGATGGCCCGAGACACTGGCCAGACTCAGCTCGGGGTAGACTATCAGCAGAGTGACACTCCTCGCCTGGGTACCTTTGTGTACACACATTCCGCGCGTAAGAACACACTCACGCACACAGACACGGCCACGGCCATTCCCACAGGTGTGAGGGGGAGCTCGTGGTTGATTTGCGGTTTCTTGGTGACTATGAGCATCTTTTTATATCCTTGATCATCTGTATTATTTCTTTGCGAAACGACCGTTGGAGTCATTGTCCGTTTCTCTCTGAGGTTGCCTGTTTCTGCTGCCGAAGCGCAGGATCCTGTGTTCTGAATCCCGCGCCCTGGGGCCTGTCAGTGTTAACATGTGTTTCTTCTCCCTGTAGGTGCCTCTTAGCTCTGCTAATTGATTGTTTTGCTCAGTGGAAGCTTTTTAGTTTGATGTAGTTTGATTTTTGCTTTTGTTGCAAGGAAACTATTGCTAACACTGGTTTTAAAAAGCCTATCTCATGTTTTATTCTAGGAGTTTTAGAGTATCAAGTCTTATGGTTAAGTCTTCGTGGATGGGGTAAAAGAAATCAACTTCATTATTTTGCATGTGGATGCTCAGCATTATTTGTTGAAAAGACATTCTATATAGTCTCCACATCCTTGTTGGACTCTGTTCTCCATTTGTCTGTCTTCATGCCAGTACCATACTATTTTCATTACTGAAGCTTTATAAATTTTTTAGAAAAAAACTGGTGTTTCCAGCTTTTAATTTTTTTTTTTTTTTTTACTATTATTGCTTTGGCTCTTTATGGTGCCGTACAAGTTGGAGGATTGCTATTCTATTTCTGCAAAGAATACCATTTGATTTTGATAGGGATTACATTAAATCTGTGGCTCAATTTGTCTAGTACGGACATTTTAATAGTGTTAAGTCTAATCGTCAGGCAGTATTGTGTGGAGGGGTTGGAGATAGTTGGAGTTTTGCACGCATATGTCACCAGCAAACAGAGATAATGGCTTCTTTTTTGACTTCAGTTCTTTTTACTACTTTTTCTGACCTACTTTTTCTGACCTAGTTACTCTGGTTAGGACTTTGAGTACTATTTTGAATAGAAGTTTTAAGTGTTCTGATCTTAGAGGAGAAAGTTGAATTTTTTAACTGTTGAGTATGATATCATCTGTTTTTTAGTGTTAGACTTGACTTAGCTTTATGGCACTGTGGTCAGAGAAAGTATGCTTCATGTGACTTGGTCCTTTGGTTTATGAATAAATGGTTCATATCTGAATGTTCTATTTTTAAATTTGTGCTATATGACCTTGAAAAAAATGTCTAGGTTGTGGCTTTTGTTTGGAGTGGTCGGTAGATGTCAGTTAAGGCTGTTTTGTAGCTTCTCATTTAAGACAGCTGCTGCTTTATTTTCCTCTCTTTTGTTGATCTTCCATAGTTGCATTAAAACTCCCCTGGAGTTATTGGGGAGAGGATGGGGTGTGCGGGTGTGGGGTGCGGGGCGTGTCTGTGGCCTGCAGGAGCACTGTGGAGGAGCTGGAACGGGCAGTCGGAGAGGCAGTCAGGCCCATCCTGAGTGTCCCTGAGCGGACCGCAGCGAGGGTGCTCTGCAGCAGGTCCCCGCTTGCCGGGGGATTCTGCCGACGCCTGCAGATGAAGTGTAACCACAAATTTCTATCCCTTGCATTATCGCCTTTGTAGCTGATAGATGTGGAAGCTTTCTAGCTTTCTGTTTCTCTTCCAGGGGTGTTGACTTTGGTTGTAAATATGTGCACTAGAGAAGCCCTTCACCTTCGTTCTGCCACCATCATGCCAAGAGTCCTAAAAAATAAACCTTCTGGAGTCATTGGGTCAGAATTCAGAAGAGCCATTAAACTTAACATCCATAAATAATAATGAAAATAAAGCATATCAAGTTTTGATATGTGTAATTAACCGAGTGCTTAGATGGATGTTTGTAGTTTTCAATGACTGTATTTGAAAAGATCAAATACAGATTAGGTCAGTAACCTAAATTTTTATCTTAAAGGGCTATAAAGGTAGAATAAATCAAATGTAAGACCATCAGAAAGAAGGAAATAAGGTCAACCATCTCTGAAATAGAAAATGACCAATAAACCAAAGCTACTTGTTTGTAAAAACAAAACAAACAGACAAAAAACCATGGAATTCAAATATGTATTAGAATATTGTAGAAGGAAAAAAGAGAGAGAAGAGGCCCTCCCTGGTGGCGCAGCAGGTCAAAGCACAGCACTAAGAAGCTAAAGCCACTTCCGCATGAGTTCAGTCCCCACCCCAGAGGTGACCCACATGGCATGACAGACCCCTCCTGACCCGCCCGCTGCTCCCCTCAGCAGTGTACTTCCTCGATCTGCCTGTTCTGCTCCCCACTCTGTCTCTGGTGAATCCTCTTACCCTCCACATCTCTGACCTGTACCCCAGTTCTGTATGAATAAATAAATAAATCTTTTTAAAAAAAAGAGAGAGAAGAAATTTAGTACTGATCCAAATTAGAAAACTCGAACAGCGAACTGTGAGGGCACGAAATTGAATTAGTAACTATATATCCTTCTCATATGCCCAGATGACAGGTACTTTCTGTGAAACATCTGAAGAAGCCATGTTTCCAACCCTATAACAGTTGTTTTTTGAGTAATGGACAGAGACCGTTTCTCCACTAATGTTAGATAGCTCCTGTGTTCCAGAACCTAGGCCGTTTTGTAACATCCCCTTAATTCTAAAACCTGACAAAGCCTCATAAAAAGGGAGGACTGTACCCCAACGTACCTGTGAGTATAGATGCAAAGTTCATCGCCATATTTTGGTAAATTAAGTTCAAAAATTATATTTAAAAAATGCATCATGAGCAGCTGGAGTTTTTTTCAAGAATTCAAAACCTCATCAATATATAGAAATTATTCAACTAAATTTGTTACTTTAATAAAATAATGGAAGGGAAAATACACGGTCATTTCAGTAGATTCAGAAACAGCTTTTGGCACAAATTCAGTACTTTTGGTTAAAAAACAAACAAGCATTGAACTGATGAAGAATAGAGAGACACTCAACTTAAGGGCATCTTTAAAACCTTAGTGCTGACATGACACTTTAAGATTAAAGGCTTAATACTTCCTGTCTAATCTTGGGACAAAATAAAAATTGCTCTTACCAATTAGTTAACATTGTGCTGATCGTGCAATTTAAGTAAGAAAAAGTAGAAGGCAAGCAGACTGGAAGGGAAATCGTAAACTACTCTATTTGCAAGCAGTATAGTTGCATATCTAGAAAAAACAGAAAAGACAAAAGCTGCTGGAACTAATAAATACAGTTAGCAGGAATTCAAGATACTAGCTCAACATATTAAAAAGGAATTGTATTTTTGAACAGTAGCAAGAAAATTAAAAAATAAAATTTTAAAAATTGTATAAAATAGCTTGAGGGATATTTAGAAATGTATTCAGTTAAAGATTTCCACAGAAAATTGTAAAGCACTGCATTTGTAAATGAAAAATTAAATAGAGACTTATACCATCTTCATAGATTCGACGTTTTAATATTTTAAAGTGGAAATTTCCTCCAAATTGATTTATAGATTTAATCCATTTCATCTCAAAAGTCTAACAGACTTTTAAAAAATAAACCAACGAGCTGATTTTCACATTCATGTTAAAATAAATGTTCTGTGACATATCATACCTGTTCAAAAGATTTTGATAATGGTTCTCCTTATAATGAGTAAATTAAAAAATGTACAGCAAACTTTTGTGAGTCAATTTATAGCTAAGATGTTCCTAATTAAAACTTAACTGTACTTTTAAAATATTAGTTGTCTTATAACCCTTCCCTTATTTTTTCTTTCATATGCCTCCCGTAATAGTAAATGCTAATACTAACTTTAAGCCTCTAATGTAAATTACTTTCAGGATTTATCTCTTGCAATAAGAATGAATCTATGTCTTTATATTCCTGTGTAGTACCCAGGAATAGAGTCCTTGAGTTGGTTTCATCTAGGAAAGGGCTATATTTGAATTGGTTGTCATCCCCTATTTATGGGATATTTTAATTGTTTTTATAGGGAAGAATGGACGGAAGCCATCCAGGCTGTAGCAGACAGACTTCAGAGGCAAGAGGAGGAGAGGATGAACTGCAGTCCAACTTCACAGATTGATAATATAGGGGAGGAAGAGATGGATGCTTCCACAACTCATCATAAAAGAAAGGTAGGTGTAGTAACTTATTCCTCAACATAAACAGTTAGGTATGTAGAAGAAATAGGCTAAAAACTGCTTTTGCAAAGGTGTCAGCCAGTTACAACGTACACATACATGGGTACGAGTTGTTTTTATTCGGGTGAATCTGAGATGCCTTGTTGTTGTTTAAAACCAAGTAATTACTCATGTTATCTCTGTTGCTGAGCTTTCACTGGATATTGATAGGGCTTCTTATGGGGTTGTACTGATATGCCATAGTTCTGCTTTGTAATTTGCATTTTTCCCTTACTCTTCGCTATGCTATGCTAGAAACTTTGAAATTAAAAGTTTCCCAATGATTGAGTCATCTCCCCTTTGACATTCTGTGTGCTCCTTAAGGCAGAAGCAGAAGTGACTCTGGTCTGCTTTCTCGTTAGTATCCTCGCCACACTTACCTCAGCACGTGCAGGAACAATCTTGGAAGCAACAGCCTTTTATTTGATAATGTCCTTTACATTGACTCTTGAACCACTCGGGAGCATAAAATGTTCCTTCCCCCGGTGCACCAGAGTAATACATGCTCATTTATATAGGTATGGCGAATTTTAATTGGTTTCATGGCTGTAGACAGTTGAACAGCAACTTCCATATATAAAAAATGTTATTTTAAGATTAAAGATAGATGTTCGAGATAGACGAGCATGCCATTTTATCATTTTAAAATATGTTTGATAGGGTAGATTGTAAATTTCAGGTAGGAAAACTAATTTTTAAGACACTTATCCATATAATTTATGTTAGTGATTTAAGAATTCCTGTGTTTTATTAAGCCAACTTCTTAAGCCATCTTGTTCTTCAGTTACTGCAAAAGTAAAACCACAGTCTGGCTTTATCAGTTACTCAAACAGTTTCTTTGGCATGTGCTCATGTGCATAATTTGAAATTTGATTGTGCTTATAAATTTAAAATCAGGTTCCAGTTAGTCCCTTTTCAGTAACCAACTATATCCTGTTTAATTCTGGAGTTCTTAAAATTCTTGTTCATAAAAATGATAAATATTGAGGATGTTAGAGGTTGAAAGTGAGAAGCTTAGAAATGCTATTTAGAGGAACTAGCTAGAAATACTATTTGATGGACGATAGAAATTTGGAAATGAGTATGGAAATTTGCCAGAATTGTGAATGAAGAGCAGCAAATATTTTGAAGGATGTGAAAAGGGGAGAGTATGGAACACTTTTTTTTTTTCCCCATTAAGCTTTATTATATATATTGAGAAAAGGGCAGTAGAATGACGCATTACTCGGTAGTGATGCTCAGAGCTACCCTCAACTCTTGCAAGAGCAAGCCAGGTGGCCCCTTCTCTCAGCTGTAGGTCGTTCATGGTACTTGCTCTGCGTACTTAAATGGCTCTAGGAAGAGCCTAAGAGGCTCTTAGGGGGGTCGTACCTGAGGGAAGAGATCAGATTCTGTACAGTGGACAGTGGTGTTAGGAAATAAATAAGTTTCCCCTGGCGAGGGAAAGATAGGGGGAGTGGAGAGAAGAGACCGAAGACCTGGCAAAGACCTCGAGCGCTGTTCTGTTTAAATTAAACAGTGCTGTTTGAAAAGATCTAGAAATGTCACTGCAGAATTGAGGCTATAGGGTCAGGGGTGGGGGAGAGTGGACATAAACTGGGGAGACGCTCCAGTAGTTTATGGTAAAGGCAAATAGATGCTTCGGTGGGAGGATGCACAACTGAAGTCATGAACCTGCTTTCCTGTATCATGTGCAGTATTGCAAACCCCCTCCCCGCCCCCCAAACATTGATTATGTTTTCAAGGAAATTTACTGGAGGGCCTAGAGGTGCTTGATCTCATTCTGCCATGCCGCCATTGCTGTTGTTTTTCTGTGCCCTGCCAGGTATGTGAAGGGCACGGCATAGAAGGATCTAGAGGACCCAAACTCTACTTACTGTTTAAATGCCGACCTCGGCCGCCTGGGACAGCCGGTTGGTGTCTTCGTCTTGAGTTAGAAACTAGAAACAGTATCTCTTGTTTTCCCATTACATCTGACTCCTGTTCTTGGAATTTTATGACATGATATCTGAATACAATAACTCAGAACAATGACTAGCTTGCAGAAGAGGTTGGAGTCTGCTGGAACTGTGTGATGCTTGACAGCGTAACTCAGGAGGGAGAAGTGACCTTAAGCAGTGCTGTAGAGATTGGAAACACCAGAGAAAATGGGCGGAGTTAGGCTTCCTTCTCACCTTCCTTCCTGCACCTTTTGTAGTTGTTCTGTAGGACTTCATTGTGTAAAATAAGTAAATTTACATTGTAAATGTGCGTGGAATTTTTCTGTTTTGACCAGATAAGCTAAAATCTCTGCATATTTTGAGAGTCTCCTTACAGTCCTCATCAAAAATGTGTTCATATTTTAGTCTTTTTTTTTTTTTGCTTAACAGTCTTTTTTCATTCACTCTAATGTGTGATTTTGGATACATTCATTGAATGTGTGTTGTATGGGCATGTGCATCTTTTAACCCAAAAAGTCACACTGGTATATTAGAGATTGTGGATAAAAGACTGTAACTATGTAAAATAATCCCTAATTCTTAAGATTGGGTTTTGGAGGATAACTTCTGGAGAGTACTCATGCTCTAACTTGTTACTAAAATCTCATTGCATCATTTTCCCTTAGCAATATCCAAAGAGGAAAACGTTTTATAACAGGTTACATTTCATTCATAAAGTCTAGATTATTACTGTTTATGCTACATTAAACCTAATAATTTAGTATTGGAGATACTTTTCAAATTTTCCGAAATTCAGCATAGATTTTTTATTTCCAATTTTATCATATAGGTTGCTTTATTTTACTAGTATTATGGATAGTTCCCATGCAATGTCCTTATTTTTTTTAATGCTGACAAACTAAAAGGGAATTTAGACTCTCACACTTTTTAACCTTTTGTTCCTAAAATTCTTAAGACGTATGCTGGTATTTTATAGTTATATGTTACTCTTCATCTGAAAATTCAATAAAAAATTACAAATTATTTTCTTCATTTTGATCTGCAAGAATTTTTCCCGTTCACATATTTAGTAATAGCAGCTATCATTTTCCAGTGCTTTTTATAAAAATGAGGAGGGCGCTATTCAAGTGAAGTCTGAGCACTAGAGTGACACTGCGGCTGATGGAGAATGGCGTCTGTCAGTTCTTCGCCGCCCTGGTACAAACCGAGGGTAATGTCTTCACCAGCAGCAGGGTTTTCCCTGGTGGCGGTTGCCTGGGCTTTTCCTGGCCTCACGCACATCTTTTCAGCTACGGCACTCAACAAGCACGCGGGCCTCCTCGGATGTCCTGGGTCTCTGGTCTTCTGCACGTGACCCGTCTCCGCTCCTTGGGCCTCTGGCCACGGCTTCTCTCCTCCTCAGATAGCCTGGGCTTCCTGGTAGCATCAGCTGGCTTTCAGAAGTGACCTTTCGCTTGTGAGGAAGAAAGTGGCAGGGTGAGAGGCGACGTCTGTAAGGGCCCAGTCTTTTCGGAACACTTCAAACGGGACCCAGAGCGTTTGGGCCCGCCTCTCCGTAGGAAGCACAGGGTACACACATCGACATAGGGGACGTTCGTGGTCACCTTCTTTGGACACTGTTGGCCTAAATGCTACCACCTTTGGAGTCTGCCTATTTATTGTTACCATGGTTTGCTCAAATGACAACTAGCTTTGTTAACTTCATTTTGTTTGTTTAGTGCCATGACTGATTTGTAATTGCACTAATCACTATACTTTTAACTCCTCCTGCTGTCTTTACTGCTTTTTTTTTTTTAGAACTAGAAATTTTAATGGTTAAGGCAATATAACTTAACATTTGGAAAAACTATCACAATTACAGCAGCAAATAGTATTGGAAATGAATGTAAGTATTCATTTCTCAAAGTTGAAGAATTTTTTACATGTATCTACATGAGGGACATTGGCCCCTAGTTTTCATTTGGTTTTGGCCTCAGAGAGTGACTTGGGAGGTATTCTCCCAGTTTTCTATAAGAGTTCATATATAGATATAGATATATGCTTTAATTCTTATGGAATTCACCAGTGAAACCATCTGGTCCTGGAGTTTTCTTTCCTGAAATATTTTTGACCACAAATTCACTATCCTTAGTAGAGAGAGAACTGTTCAGTGATCTATTTCTTTTTGAGTGAGTTTCCATAGTTGAAACATTCCAGAAATAACTCATTTCATGCAAGCTGTTGATTTTATTATAAAGTTGTTTGTAATATCCCCTTGCGATCTTTTTAATATTTGTAGACTCTGTACTACTAATACTGCCTCTCTCATTCCTGAATTGATAATTTTTGCCATCTTTATGTTCCTGACTAATCTGGCTAGAGATTTAGCAATTGTGTGGGTCTTTTCAAAGAACCAGCTCTGGTTTCACTGATTCTGTAGTTTTTCTTTTTTTGAAATAGAATTGATTTATGCTCCTATTTTATTATTTCCTTGTAATTCTTTTCATGTTTTTGTTTGTTTGTTTGTTTCTTGTTTAAGGTAGAAGGTAGGGTCATTAGCTTATGCTTTTCCTGACATAAAAAGCAACAAAAATCTTTAACAAAAATCTTTAACAACTTCTTGTTGCCTATAGGTTAAACACCACATCTTTAATTTATTAGTCATAAACCCCTTTAAACTGAGTTTAAATTCAAGATGTTAAATTAAGCATACCGTCTCCCTCTGTAATTCATCGAAAAATGAATTTCAAATTAAAGGATTTTTCCAAAGAAAAAAATCCACCAACATGGAAAGTTGGTGAAAGAAGGGCATGAATGGACAAGCAACATGAAAATTGTACACATTTGTGAAGGGGTTGACAGAGGTGAGAAGGACGCGTACCGTGGTGTTGCAGAGAGCAAATAACAGGTCCTGCTTGGAAAAGCTGCGGGACTCACTGGCTTAGAAATGGGGATGAGCAGTGAAACTGCCGTTTGCAAATGAATTAAGTACATTCTTAGAGCTTCCTGATTTCCTGATCTGTATTTATAAATTGCTTTCTGAGAAGTTGTACAGCTGTCTTTCTTAGAATTCTTTTCACTCCTCTCTCCAGGATTGTTTTCAGCTTTTCTTACACACACGGCTTTCTTTCTTGATTTTGAATAAAGATGGGTTCCATCTTTATTTTGCTGGATTATAGTCTCAAATAGCTCCCTTCAAAAGTATTGTCTCCTCAGGAGTAATGCTAGCAAAAACATTCAGGAATGTTTTGGGGGGACACTTTATAATATCACAATGTCTGGAGGTGCTGACATTACTGAATTCTTAAAAGCTTGAGTCCCTGAAAGTGAGCGAGCAGGACTTTATTTTTCATTTGCTCTTACATTTGACTGATAATTTGACCAGCTAAGAAATTCTAGGTTTGTATTTGTATTTATTTATGCATACAGAACTGGGGTACAGGCCAGAGGTGAAGGGGCAGTGAGAGAATTCAGACAGATGGGGAGCAGAACAGGTGGATCTACTGAAATACACTGCTGAGGGGAGCAGCGGGACAAACAGGAGGGGTCTGCTGGGCCCTGTGGGTCACTCCCTGGCCAGGATCAAACTCAGGCAGCAGTGGCCACTGGTAGCTTGATAGTGCTGAGACTTAACCCTTTGTACCACCAGGGAGACTCCGAGAAATTAAAGGTTTTGAATAATTTTCTCTAATGTTTGACAGTGGCTTACATTATTTCCAGCTTTCATGATTGCATCAGACTGTCAGTATCAGGGTGCTTAGACAATGGTAAAATTTGCTTTTAAGTCAGTGTTACAAAGGTGTGCATGTATGTTTTCAAAAAAATTGCATTAATATTTGATTTTTTTTTTTTTTCAGACAATGAATGATTTTGACTATTTGAAACTACTAGGTAAAGGCACTTTTGGAAAAGTTATTTTGGTTCGAGAAAAAGCAAGTGGGAAATACTATGCTATGAAGATTCTGAAGAAAGAAGTAATTATTGCAAAGGTAACTAAAGAGCACTAAATCTGTGTTTACGGTGCACAAACATGTACTCATGCATACGGGTGATGACAGAAACCCTATTAAAGTACTCTAAATGCTGATTGTTTGCTGCTTTTACAGTAATTGCTATTTTAATGTTTATAATGTTAACACTTTCAAAAACTTGTAATATCATATCAATACTATAGACTGAACTGTTTCATTCCTTGAGGAGATAGAGATTTATTCAGTGTGTGTGTGTACATGGGCATTTTTACTGTATGATTGTGAACTGCATCATTACCTACACCATTATTGTGTTTTCAAGTTTCCCCCAATGTTCTGAATTTCTTATTTCCTACTATTAAAGTGATTGGGATAGTGTAGATGATTTTGTACCTTTTAATTATACAGCTTTTGACATTGGATGGGAAGGCAGCCTTAACAGATTCAGACATAATAAATGAAAATACAGCCTTTGCAATTCCGAACAAGGAATGTTAATTCCCACCTCTAAAGCTTCATTCAGCTTATACTGATGGAAATCGTCAACATCTTACTAATGTCAGTTTGCAGAGTTCTGAATTAAATCCCAGTTCCCTCATCAACAAATACGTTACACTTTGCAAATGGGTCAAGGCTTTATATATTAATTTAACCAATGACAGCATCAGTGCTGTGCTGACTACTTTTATTTTCAGTTATTTGCAACTAACTCACTCATCTGGAGTATGTTGCTTCACACATTCTGGGGAGCTGCTCCCCCCCAGTATTTGTTCATTTGTTTCGGTCTTAGTCCTTTTAAAAGTCACTGTCTGATGCTAGAAATAATGCTGTCCTTGGAGTTACAGAGACTTAGGTGCGCACTCCAGCCTTGCGTCTTACTCCCTGCTGACCTTCACGGTCAGTTTTTTGGAGAATATTTCTTCTTAAGGACATTAAGATGCTTGTTGGGGGAAAATGGCGGGAAGGGGCTTATGTATTGCAGTAACTTAGAGGAAGACATTTCCATTCCATTTTTGCTTTTATATATGTATTAGCCTCACTTGGGTACTGCGTTAGCTCACTAATTACACTTTTTTTTTTAAAGATTTATTTATTTATTCATACAGAACTGGGGTACAGGCCAGAGATGCGGAGGGTGAGAGGATTCGCCAGAGACAGAGTGGGGAGCAGAACAGGCAGATGAGAAGCACACTGCTGAGGGGAGCAGCGGGCGGGTCAGGAGAGGTCTGCCGCGCCCTGTGGTCACCTCCGGGGCAGGCGGGAATCGAACTCATGCGGAAGCGGCTTTAGCTTCTCAGTGCTGCGCTTTAACCCGCTGCGCCACCAGGGAGGGCCACTAATTACACTTTTTAAGTAACTACAAAATTGGGTATGTTTCACAAATGAATGGGACAGTTGATTGATAATAGTTCCTTTCTGCTTTCCCAGACAAATCCATGTATAAGCTTTTTAAAAGAAAATACACTTCATCATTTAATGACTAACAGTATGGTATCTTAGAGTCAGACAGGCCAAGCCCCAGGATTTGAATCCTGATGTGTCTTCCTCAGACCCTTTATCCGGGAATAAATGTTGTCCATATACTTTGTTACTATTGCTGTAGCGCTGATCACTAGTTAACATGGTGTTGCCAAGTTTCTCCACTGGATATTTATTATCTCCCTCTCTATAACTAGTAAATACCTTACTAATAGTGATTTTCCTTCGCTCTTTATACATTTATTTTTAGTCTAATTAAAGGTTTGCCTTTTTCTTTTCAATCTTCGTGAAGAATTAGATTTTGGTTTCATGGATTTTCTCTAGTCTTCTGCTCTCTGTCTCTTTGTTATTTCCTTCCTTCTGCTAGTTGTGGGATTAATTTTTTCTTTTTCACTTGTTCCTTAAATTGTGGTTAGTTTGTAAATCGGAGGTCGTCCTATTTACTGTAAGCATTTCAGGGTGTCATTTTCCTCTCATCACTCCTTTCACAGTGTCCCATAAACTTGGGTTTGCTGTGCTTGGCTTTTATTCAGCATTTTCTGCTTTAAATTTCCCTTTGGCTTCCTTTTTGATCCATTGGTTATTTTAGAGTCTTTGTTGAATGTTCACCAACTTGTGAATTTTTTAGTTTTCTTTCAGTGATTACCAACTTCATTCTGTTGTGGTTAGAGAAAGTTAACTTTGCATGTTATCTGTCTTTTAAAAATTGGTAGGACCTTTTTCCACTGTATATCTGGGCTTTTTTGTTGTAAAATTAATTGCCCATCTATGTATGATATCTTGCCTAGGTATCATCTATCTTAGATATCTATCATGATTGTTGTGGCTCTCCCCAGGGTCTTTTATGATTCCACACACATTTTAGGGTTTTGTATTTTGAATACTATTTGAACTTTGAGAGGCTAGACTCAGTTTGTACTTTGCTTTGGGTAGCATGAACATTATAACAACATGATTTTTTTTCAGTCCATTCTTTGGTTTCATTCATTATGATCTTACAGGTTTCAGTGTGATTTGTCTTTCCCCATCTTGGTTAAATGTTTTCCTGGTATTTTATTCTTTTTGATGCAATTATAAATAGGACTTGTTTCTTAATTTCTTTTTTAGAAATTTTGTTTCTAGTGTGGATAAATGCAGCTGATTTTTGTGTATTGGTTTTTGTATCCTGCAACTTTACTGAATTTATTTATTCTGACAGATTTTTTAAAAAATAAATTTCTTAGGATTTTCTCTATATGTCATCGGGCCCTCCCTGGTGGCACACGGGGTTAAGTATTCAGCACTGTGATGCTGTCCACAGCCACTGCAGCGGGAGTTTGATCCCCGGCCAGGGAGTGAGCCACAGGGCGCAGCAGACCTCTCCTGTCTCCCCGCTGCTCCCCTCAGCAGTATGTTTCATCAGTCTGCCTGCTCTGCTCCCCACTCAGTCTCTGGTGGATCCTCTCACCCCCGCACCTCTGGCCTGTGTCCCAGTTGTTGTATGCATAAATAAAAATATCTTTAAAAAAAAATATATATATATATATATGTCAACTGAAAATAGAAACCAATTTCTTTTTTTCCCCTAAGATGAGTGACTTCTTTCTTTTTCTGCCTTAATTGTTCCGGATAGGACTGCCAGTGCGCTGAGCATATTCTTTCCAAAGGCAGCAAAGTTCCTAGTTGGGGCACTTTGCTGTGGCTGCTGTAATGAACTACCACTAAGTTCAGGGCTCAGAGCAACATAAAAGTGCTCTCAGTTCTGGAGATCACAATGCTAAAGCAAGGTTTGGCGAAACTGCGTTCTCCTCTGGGGACCTGCGATAAGGACGCCTTTCCCCCTTTTCTCTCCTACGTCGTCCCCAGCGACAGCCAGTAGCTCTCCGTCGTGAGTCCCATCACGCCGGTCTCTCCGTCACCGTCACTTCTCCTCCTTGTTTGTCAGATCTACCTCCATCTCATTTTAATGTTAGACACCAACCACTGGCTTAAGCCCACTTGGATAACAGAGGGCAGTCTTAACTCAAAATTCTTGGCTTGGTCTCTGCAAACATCCTTTTCCAAATAAGTTAACATTAACAGGTTCTAATAGGAATGAGGGATGACACGTAATAATTTTTAGGAAGGGTAATAATTTAACCCATGACAATTCAATTTCTAGATTCCCAAGTTTTACTTCTGTCTCACACAAAACATACTCATCCCAACTCAACGTGCCACAACATCTTCAATCATTCTATGAGCAGCTTTAAGTTCAGAATGCTATTCAAGTATCAGCTCAGAAGTCTAGCTCTCGTCACCTGAGTGAGGTTTGTGCGAGAGATAGTGGGTTGTGACGTGCTCCAAGACAAAATGCTGAATCCTGAGGCATACAGCATGTGAGGGGAGAGGGTTGGAAGAGGCAGGGGAGAGCTCAGGGGAGCGTACGGTGGTTCCGGGTGATGTGGGAGATTTACAGGGGCTTCACAGGACAGAGAGATGAACTGCTGTACAAAAATAAGCAACAGTGTAAGAAAATAAAAAAAAGTGGAAGTGAAAATAAATATACCCACCAAAGTGTGTACAGAGAAAAATGCATTTCAAGATCATAAATACCAGATATGACAAGCACACAGCTAACATCATACTTGATGAAAATTTGAAAGTTTCTCCTTTATACCAGGCACAGGAAAAGGACGTCCATGCTTAGCACTTTTAGTCAACAGAGCTTGAGCTTTTTTACCAGTGTATAGTTGCTTATTTAATAAACAACTAAGTTTATTTCTATAGAGGAGTACAGCACTGGGCGTTCTTACTCTCCATCATGCTGACGCCAGCCCTACAAGTCCTGTTTCTGACTGCGTTAATGATCAGAGCCTGAGGTCTCTCTCGGGCTCAATACTTCATTGGAATGTAGAGTATTCAGGAAAACTGATTTGCTCTTGGTTACGGTTTATTATACTGAAAAAATACAGATTCAAATCAGGAAAGGGAAAGGTGCGTTTGACAAAGTCCATGTGCAAACTCTGTGGTGTCTTTTCCCTAGTGGAGGTGAGAGTGTTGGACTTACTGGTCTTCTCGGAACCGTGTGTCATGGCATGTGAGAGTGTTAAGGAGGCTTATTTAACGGGGCTATTGTGGGTCTTTCCCACAAGCTGGAAGCACCTGTGGCTCTCCCTGCACTGCTCAGCTTATCGCTTCTTCAAACCAAAGCAGCATCCATCACTCCTGCTGTTGTTTCTGCGAGCTGCTTACTCAAACTGGTGTCATGTGGCCCAACACCTCTGGCGTACAAAAACACTCATAGAAGGTAGATTTTGAAGAGTAAGCACTTAACTTCCTACGAGCTGGCTAACGGCCTATCCTGGCTTTTCTTGTGAATGTGCAGTGTTTCAGCAACCCAGGACTCCTAAGTTAGTCCTTTCCTGCATGAGCGCCTGATAAAATATCAACCCAGTGTTTGCACTTGCCCACTAATACTTTTACCCATTTTCAGTCTAAGTTATTAGAGATGGACCCTAATCAGAAGTTCCTAACACCTTCTGCCAACTTTTTGATCCATTCTTCGAGATGCTCTTGAA